ATAAACGTGGATTTTTTAAAGAATATTTTTTCAAGGACCAAAAAATTAGTAAACTTGTATTTTTAAGAATATTTTTTCAAGGATCAAAAGACTAATAAACGTGGATTTTTAAAGAATATTTTTTTTTCAAGGACCAAAATACCAATAAACATGGATTTTTTTTAAAAAATATTTTTCAAGGACCTTCAGTCCAGTAGTCGTGAATTTTTAAAAATAATATTTTTCAAGGACCTTTAATCCAGTAGTCGTGGATTTTTTAAAGAATATTTTTCAAGGACCTTCAATCCAGTAATCGTGGATTTTTTAAAGAATATTTTTCAAGGATCTTCAATCCAGTAATCGTGGATTTTTTAAAGAATATTTTTCAAGGACCTTCAATCCAGTAATCGTGGATTTTTTAAAGAATATTTTTCAAGGACCTTCAATCCAGTAATCGTGGATTTTTTAAAGAATATTTTTCAAGGACCTTCAATCCAGTAATCGTGGATTTTTTAAAGAATATTTTTCAAGGATCTTCAATCCAGTAATCGTGGATTTTTTAAAGAATATTTTTCAAGGACCTTCAATCCAGTAATCGTGGATTTTTTAAAGAATATTTTTCAAGGAGCAAAATACCAATAAACATGGATTTTTTTAAAAAAATATTTTTCAAGGACCTTCAGTCCAGTAGTCGTGAATTTTTAAAAATAATATTTTTCAAGGACCTTTAATCCAGTAGTCGTGGATTTTTTAAAGAATATTTTTCAAGGACCTTCAATCCAGTAATCGTGGATTTTTTAAAGAATATTTTTCAAGGATCTTCAATCCAGTAATCGTGGATTTTTTAAAGAATATTTTTCAAGGACCTTCAATCCAGTAATCGTGGATTTTTTAAAGAATATTTTTCAAGGACCTTCAATCCAGTAATCGTGGATTTTTTAAAGAATATTTTTCAAGGACCTTCAATCCAGTAATCGTGGATTTTTTAAAGAATATTTTTCAAGGACCTTCAATCCAGTAATCGTGGATTTTTTAAAGAATATTTTTCAAGGACCTTCAATCCAGTAATCGTGGATTTTTTAAAGAATATTTTTCAAGGACCTTCAATCCAGTAATCGTGGATTTTTTAAAGAATATTTTTCAAGGACCTTCAATCCAGTAATCGTGGATTTTTTAAAGAATATTTTTCAAGGACCTTCAATCCAGTAATCGTGGATTTTTTAAAGAATATTTTTCAAGGACCTTCAATCCAGTAATCGTGGATTTTTTAAAGAATATTTTTCAGGGACCTTCAATCCAGTAATCGTGGATTTTTTAAAGAATATTTTTCAAGGACCTTCAATCCAGTAATCGTGGATTTTTTTAAAAAAAATATTTTTCAAGGACCTTCAATCCAGTAGTCGTGAATTTTTAAAAAGAATATTTTTCAAGGACCTTTAATCCAGTAATCGTGGATTTTTTAAAGAATATTTTTCAAGGACCTTCAATCTAGTAGTCGTGGATTTTTTAAAGAATATTTTTCAAGGACCTTCAATCCAGTAATCGTGGATTTTTTAAAGAATATTTTTCAAGGACCTTCAATCCAGTAATCGTGGATTTTTTAAAGAATATTTTTCAAGGACCTTCAATCCAGTAATCGTGGATTTTTTAAAGAATATTTTTCAAGGACCTTCAATCCAGTAATCGTGGATTTTTTAAAGAATATTTTTCAAGGACCTTCAATCCAGTAATCGTGGATTTTTTAAAGAATATTTTTCAAGGACCTTCAATCCAGTCATCGTGGATTTTTTAAACAATATTTTTCAAGGACCTTCAATCCAGTAATCGTGGATTTTTTAAAGAATATTTTTCAAGGACCTTCAATCCAGTAATCGTGGATTTTTTAAAGAATATTTTTCAAGGACCTTCAATCCAGTAATCGTGGATTTTTTAAAGAATATTTTTTCAAGGACCTTCAATCCAGTAATCGTGGATTTTTTAAAGAATATTTTTCAAGGACCTTCAATCCAGTAATCGTGGATTTTTTAAAGAATATTTTTCAAGGACCTTCAATCCAGTAATCGTGGATTTTTTAAAGAATATTTTTCAAGGACCTTCAATCCAGTAATCGTGGATTTTTTAAAGAATATTTTTCAAGGACCTTCAATCCAGTAATCGTGGATTTTTTAAAGAATATTTTTCAAGGACCTTCAATCCAGTAATCGAGGATTTTTTAAAGAATATTTTTCAAGGACCTTCAATCCAGTAATCGTGCATTTTTTAAAGAATATTTTTCAAGGACCTTCAATCCAGTAATCGTGGATTTTTTAAAGAATATTTTTCAAGGACCTTCAATCCAGTAATCGTGGATTTTTTAAAGAATATTTTTCAAGGACCTTCAATCCAGTAATCGTGGATTTTTTAAAGAATATTTTTCAAGGACCTTCAATTCAGTAATCGTGGATTTTTTAAAGAATATTTTTCAAGGACCTTCAATCCAGTAATCGTGGATTTTTTAAAGAATATTTTTCAAGGACCTTCAATCCAGTAATCGTGGATTTTTTAAAGAATATTTTTCAAGGACCTTCAATCCAGTAATCGTGGATTTTTTAAAGAATATTTTTCAAGGACCTTCAATCCAGTAATCGTGGATTTTTTAAAGAATATTTTTCAAGGACCTTCAATCCAGTAATCGTGGATTTTTTAAAGAATATTTTTCAAGGACCTTCAATCCAGTAATCGTGGATTTTTTAAAGAATATTTTTCAAGGACCTTCAATCCAGTAATCGTGGATTTTTTAAAGAATATTTTTCAAGGACCTTCAATCCAGTAATCGTGGATTTTTTAAAGAATATTTTTCAAGGACCTTCAATCCAGTAATCGTGGATTTTTTAAAGAATATTTTTCAAGGACCTTCAATCCAGTAATCGTGGATTTTTTAAAGAATATTTTTCAAGGACCTTCAATCCAGTAATCGTGGATTTTTTAAAGAATATTTTTCAAGGACCTTCAATCCAGTAATCGTGGATTTTTTAAAGAATATTTTTCAAGGACCTTCAATCCAGTAATCGTGGATTTTTTAAAGAATATTTTTCAAGGACCTTCAATCCAGTAATCGTGGATTTTTTAAAGAATATTTTTCAAGGACCTTCAATCCAGTAATCGTGGATTTTTTAAAGAATATTTTTCAAGGACCTTCAATCCAGTAATCGTGGATTTTTTAAAGAATATTTTTCAAGGACCTTCAATCCAGTAATCGTGGATTTTTTAAAGAATATTTTTCAAGGACCTTCAATCCAGTAATCGTGGATTTTTTAAAGAATATTTTTCAAGGACCTTCAATCCAGTAGTCGTGGATTTTTAAAGAATATTTTTCAAGGACCTTCAATCCAGTAATCGTGGATTTTTTAAAGAATATTTTTCAAGGACCTTCAATCCAGTAATCGTGGATTTTTTAAAGAATATTTTTCAAGGACCTTCAATCCAGTAATCGTGGATTTTTTAAAGAATATTTTTCAAGGACCTTCAATCCAGTAATCGTGGATTTTTTAAAGAATATTTTCAAGGACCTTCAATCCAGTAATCGTGGATTTTTTAAAGAATATTTTTCAAGGACCTTCAATCCAGTAATCGTGGATTTTTTAAAGAATATTTTTCAAGGACCTTCAATCCAGTAATCGTGGATTTTTAAAGAATATTTTTCAAGGACCTTCAATCCAGTAATCGTGGATTTTTTAAAGAATATTTTTCAAGGACCTTCAATCCAGTAATCGTGGATTTTTTAAAGAATATTTTTCAAGGACCTTCAAAGAATACAGCTCGTCTATAAAGACTTCCTGGCCCACCAGCTCGTCTATAAAGACTCCCTGGCCCACCAGCTCGTCTATAAAGATTCCCTGGCCCACCAACTCGTCTATAGATCCTCCCTGGAGCACCAACTCGTCTATAGGGACTCCCTGGCCCTCCAGCTCCTCTATAGGGACTCCCTGGCCCTCCAGCTCGTCTATAAAGACTCCCTGGCCCTCCAGATCGTCTATAAAGACTGCCTGGCCCACCAGCTCGTCTATAAAGACTATCTGGCCTTCCAGCTCGTCTATAAAGACTCCCTGGCCCACAAGCTCGTCTATAAAGCCTATATTGTGAAGCCAACTAGTCTATACATACTCCCAGGCCCTCTAGATCGTCCATATAAATTTGCTGGCTCTTTAGCGGTATATAAATAATATTTTTGAAGGACCTTCAGAAAAACATTTGTTTACAACTATGAAAACAATAGGACTTTTATGAATTCTTTAAAACATGTGGACTTTTATGATTTCTCTAAAAAAATAATTCTAGAATGCAGGATTTTTTTTGAAAAAAAAAAAAAACTTTTTAAAGACTCTCTGATTTCAAGATTTTTCAGCGAATATTTTTAAGGATTATTTGAATCAAGGACTTTTTAAAGAATATTTTTTTTGACTTCCTGAATCCCGAATTTTTAGAAAAAAAATTTTGCAAAGAACCTGTGTTCTCAGAAATAATGAGAAGACTGTTTAAGTCCAGGATATATATTTTCATATTTTTTTCAAGGACTATTATCGTGGATTTTTAAAATATTATGGCCATTAATTATAGATAAATATTTTGCTTTTTGAATATGTAGTTACACATCCCTGCAACCTTGCCTAAAATGATTTAAACAAATAATCCTTCCAGCGAAAATAATCCAAAAAACCTCAAAAAAATCCTCGCCCACCTTTTTCAGCTCCATTAGGATTACATTACGAAAACGCACATCGCCGCTATCGTCAAGTGGGACATGTTCAACCTTTAAATTCCCATGTAATTGTAAACATTTTAATTTGTAGCTTTATCATTGCTCTCCATTTACATCCAATCACTTTTGCAATTCAATGCTCGCAACACTGCCAGCATTTATCCCTCCCGGCCGCTGTGGTGGTGGGGGGAGGGAGAGGGCTTACATTTGTTTTTGCATTTGGATTAATGTTGCCATTTTTGTGTTTTTTTTTTCTCTCTCTCTCTCGTTTTTCTGTTGCCAGGATTTCTCGTCGATAAGTTTGGTAAATACAAACCAGTTGTGGTCATGAGTCTACTCCTGAATGCGATATTCCATCATTCGTTGCTGTTCATACCGCAACAGGAAATACCGGGTGTTGTGCCATCGGCGTTTGTGATGCGTCATCCTGATAGTGGTGTCATTGAGGTAAGTCTCTTTCAATAGTTTTTTTTTTCTTTTTCGAATTTGTTTGTTTTTGTTTTTATTGTTGATGGTGTTGTAGCTGTTGGTGCTACCGTTGTTGCCATTGTTGTTGCTGCTGTTGTATTTACTTGTCTATGGCAACTTGTAGTTGAATGTTAAACATGACAATGACATACCGTTGATCAGGCAGGCTTGACTGTATGTCTATCGGATTGTCTGTCTATTATTAAGAGATGCGACGTAGCCGAACACACATATCGATATCCTGATGTGTGTGTGTTGACTGGATAAAATCAATATATTCCAAATTTCCTGAAGATTTAAGTAAAAGCACATGGAATTAAATTCGACTGTGCTGGAATTGCATATGGATTTAGATTAAATTGGAAAATGGAAATATTTTGGTTGATTCAGATGAAAATAGATATATTTTAGGAATTTGTTGAGGTGCTATCAGAGCTAACAACATTGATTCTTTTCGAGATATTTTTTTAAAGCTAACAGAAAAAGAAGCTCTTAAAAAATATTTCTTTAAAAATTTTATGAAAAAAATTGTTTTGAAAACTATTGAATCCGTCGACTTTTTTGAAGGACGAAAAAAGAACTCCTTGGCTCTCCAGCTCATCTTTAGAGACTCTTTGGCTCTCCAGCTGGTCTATATAGACTCTTTGGCGCTCCGTCACGTCTGTAGAGACTTGTTTATAAAGCATATATTTTCAAGGACCATCAGACCAAAAAATTTGGAATTTTTAAAGATTTTTTTTTAATTTCCTTAATTCAGAATTCTTTAAAGAATATTTTATGAATTAAAGAATACTTATTTTAAAAGTATTTCTGAATCCAGAATAAGTTTGTATTCATGACTTTTTTTAAAAAAAGAATTAATTGAAACCAGTAAAGAATGTCCTAAAGTCGGCCGGGCCGACTTTATGATACCCTACACCACTTTGCTAATATAGTAGAGCCCCGCATAACAATTAAAAGTTTTTATGGGCGAATTCAATCATACACCCTATGATTATAATTATAATTTAAAGTTCAAAGGACATGCCGAAGCATTTATATCTTTTAAATTCGGACTTGTATTGTCCATTACAATTAATTTAAAATCGGATAAAGATATATATGGGAGCTATATCCAAATCGGAACCAATTTCAATAAAATTTGGCAAAGATATTTCTGAGCTGTATTTGATATATTTCCCTGAATATCGTTGTTACGGAGTGCATATTACGGCTGTGGGTAACAAATATAACAAATCGGATGAACAGTGTATATGGGAGCTATAGCTATATCTGAACCGATCTTTACCAAATACTAGCTTCTACACTCAATTCGGTCGTAAGTGCCAAATTTCATCCTATTTGGGCAAATATTAGACGTTTGGTGCACAATAAAAGGCAAATCGGACGAAGTTATATATGGGAGCTATATCCAAATCTGAACCGATCTCGATAAAATGTAGTAAAGGTATTTTTGAGATGTATTTGATATATTTCCCTAAATATTGTTGTTACAGAGTGCATATTACAGCTGCGAAGGACAAAAATAAAAAATCGGATGAACAATATATATGGGAGCTATAGCTATATCCGAATCGATTTAGATAAAATTTGGCATACTTATTTTCAGGCCTAATCTGGTTGTATGTGCAAAATTCCATACCATTCGGCCTGATATTACACGTTTGGTGCACAATAAAAGACAAATCGGACGAAGATATATATGGGAGCTATATCTAAATTTTGACCAATTATCTCCAATTTCAATAGGGGTCGTCCTTGGGCCCAGCAAATGATTTGTGCAAAATTTCATCTGGATAGGACAATAAATGCGAACTGTACTTTGTTTACAAAAATACATGGACAGACAGACGGACGGACATGCATAAATCGACTCAGAATGTGATTCTATGCAGATCATCAAAAGGAACTATGGGTCTATCTCGTTTCCTTTTGCCTGTTACAAACAAATGCACAAAGACATAATACCCTGACCACCTTGTGGTGTGAGGTATAATTAAATAATTTGTATTGGAAAAATGGAAAATGAAATGAGAGCCACTGGTGGATTACAGGAAAGAAGTACCAAAGGGTTTTTCGGTAATGCCAACTTTAAGGCTATGAAAAGTACTAAACTGGTCCTAAGATTCTAAAATGGTAATATTTGGTATTAAGTGAACGGATAGAGCTAAAAAATTGAAATTTAGTACGAGAATCAAGGTTAGAAAGTACTTTGATATATGAAGGTGGGATTTCAAGGAAGGAAGGTGGATTGGGAAAAGATTGGTTTTCGGAGAACGGATAATGCTGGAATTTCAAAATTTTGGTATTGGGATCCCTGTTGTTTGTGTTGTTGTGATAAAAAGGTGTTTTTGGAGGTGAGTACTTCAAGCTCACGAAAATTACTAAATAGTACTATGTTTGGTACAATTTGGTACTGGGTGAAACTTCGCTAATCATGTTTAACCATGATATATGGAGCTGGTTTCGGAAATGTGTACTACAATTTTACGAAAAATATTAAATGGTACTGTATTTGGTACAACTTTGTATTAGGTGAACCGATTGGGCGTCACTATTCATGTGTAGCCTGGACATATGGGGGCGGTTTTGGAAATGTGAAGGGTTAGCAGAAAAGAAAATTATATCTAGATATCTGATGATATCTGTGGTTGAGATTTGGCGGTGGTTTGAAATGTGTCCCTTTGGAAATGTGTACCATAATTGTACGAAAAGTACTAAATAGAACTGAAAATGGGTACTAAGTGAAGATATTGAGCTGGAATCCTCAATTTAATATTGAGGTCTCAGTTGGTTATGCAAGGGTGTACAAAAAGTACTAAATGGTACTAAATTTTGTATTGGGTGAAGGAAAATAAATGAATTTCTGAAGTTTGATATAGATGTCACTGCTGGTGTCTGTGGTGAATATGTGAAGGTGATTTTGGAAATGTCTACGAAAATTGTTCGAAAAGTACACTAAATAGTTCCAAACTTGGTTTTGTGTGAAGGAAAGGAATTAAAATCCTGAAATTTGATATAGATGACACTTTTGGCCGTCTGCCGTTAAGATTTGGAAATGTGTGTGTGGTAATTGTACGAAAATACTAAATAGTACTAAATTTTGTATTGGCTGCAGGAATCCGAAATTTGATAGTGAGGTCTCTGTTGGTATCTGCGATTGAGATATGTAGGTGGTTTCGGAAATGTTTATTCTAATTTTACGAAAAGTACTAAGTATTACTATATTTGGTGTTGGGTGAAGGGATATGGCCGGTATTCCAAAATTGGATTTTGAGGTCTCTGTTGCTATCTGGAATTGACATATGGAGGGGGTCTCGGATATGTGAATCACAATTGTACGAAAAATACTAAATGGTACTAATTTGGATATTGGGTGAAGGAATAGAGATGGAATCCTCAAATTTGAAATTGAGTTCTTTGTTGGTATCTGGGATTTAGATATGGGCTTGGTTTTGGAAATGTGCGCGATAATTGTAATAAAAGTACTAAGTTGTCCAATATCGGTCCACTCCATCCTGTACCTCTCCCGAAAAGGGTCAAAACTTTAAGTAAGTATAACTCGTATAAAATGTAACTCGTAAAACATTTTACTAACCCAAGGTCTGCTTGGGGTCAACCTTTTGAGAAAAATAAGGCCATTTAAATTCCAAAAAGTGCAAGAACTTTCACCGCAAGAGAACGAATGTAGACTAAAAAGAGCTAAAGAGTTGCTTCGCTTGGCCGAAAGTGGTGAACTGCCGAATTTGGTTTTCTCCGATGAGAAAACATTCATTGTCCAACAGTTTTTAAACAAACATAATGATAGGGTTTACTTTCCAAAGAGGTCAGCTGAAAATGTACACCTTCGGTTGGCCACCATAACTCAATTGTCGGCCATGGTGATGGTGTGGGTCGCCATAACAACCGATGGTCGCTCTCCGCTCGTATTAATCGACCATAAGAATAAATACCAAATTTTATTGCGAAAATATTCTGAAGGGTGTATTAAAGCCTTGGGCACGCAAACATTTTGGCCGCAGACATTGGACGTTCCAATAGAACTCAGCACCCGCCACCCAAGAATGAGGTTCCTCGCCTCATTTTCCGCGCACAATGGCCACAAAAATCTCCGGATACCAATCCGTTGGACTATTGTGTCTGGAATATTTTGGAGAGCAAGGTTGGCACTAAAAAAATACCAAAGTGTCGATTACCTCAAGCAAGCACTTCGCCAGGAATGGGCCGAAATACCGCATAACAACATTCGGGCAGCGTGTGACGGTTTCATTGGCCGTTTGAAGGCCGTAATTCGAGCCAAAGGTCACCAATTCAAACAAATCTAAACTTATTCTAAAATTTGATGCTATTTCCGAATGAAAGCAAAATACGTCATTCAATAAAATTTAAAAAAAAAAAAAATTGTAAAATTATGGCGTTTGACTTTGTTGCAGGTTTTTTACCTCACCCTGTAGCATGCCTTATAACATCGGTGCTTATATTTACAGTGGATTCCATAATACCGTAGTTTTGAATGTTTGAATTCTATATCAATTGATAAATATGCAAAATAGAATTAGTTATTTCTTCGAATAGGATGTATTCGAAGAAATAACTAATTCTAGTTCTTGACTAAATTCTGTCTCCAAAGAGTGTTCATTTATCTATGAAATAAATTACAAAGTATATATTTTAATGTACATTGCAATTAGTCTTCATTGCCAAAAAAAAGTAACTTTGATCGATTGAACTTAGCTCCTCATAAACAAACCCCACTGTACATGCCTTAACTGAAAACCCGAAATACCTGGCCCACACCTAGCCCAAAGTGAAAAGTTTCGTGTTTCGTGTGAGAATCAAAATTTCCACCCCATCTTAATTAAAATAATATGTGTGAGTGAGCATTTTAAATCACACCAATGTATAAACATACATATGTGTGCATGTGTGTGTGTGTGCTTGTTCTTTCGATACCGTTCGTGGTTTCCACGCATCACTAA